TTAATAAAATTGTTTTTAATTTTCCCCATGTTGGTGGCAAAATGCGAATAGAAAAGAATAGAGAATTATTAAGACTCTTCTTTATAAGTGCATCAGAATCATTAACAAATAATGGTCAAGTATTAGTTACTCTGTGCAATGGTCAAGGTGGTACATTTGTTGATAACCCACCAAGACGTTGGGATGATTCATGGAAAATTACAGAAATGGCAGCACATGGAAATTTTGTAATAACAGCTATTGAACCATTTGCATGGTCATTTTTTCAAAATTATGTAGTAACTGGATATCGTAGTTTGGATAAACAATTTCATTCTGCTGGAGCTTTAATTCATATATTTATAAAAACTGAATCTCCAAATGCACAGAACATTGCTCCTAAAAAGAAAATAAATATTTCTCAATTTGATAAAGATAATTTTCTATGGGAAGATATAAATCAAATTGTAAAAATATCACATATAAATGCAATTAATATATGGACTCATACATACATGTTTGACATAACTTTTAGTGTTAATGAAAAATTTGATCCTATTAAATTTTATATATTGTTATATAATCATGCGGGACTTATTATAAATAATGTTAATTTCATAGGATTGTATAAATCTGCAGAAAAAGTGGAAAAAAGAACTTATAGAATAAGTTATAAATCTGATTGTTTACCATTATATAGAAAAAGAGTTATTAATATACACCAAGATTTAATTGCAAATATTTTAGAAAACAATTTAAATATTACTGTTTCAAGATAGTGTTATTAAAAATATATATATTAAAAAGTATAATATAATATAATTCATAATTTAATAAAACTAAATTCATTTCCATTTAAAATGTATTATGTTATAACTTTATTTTTAGATGTATTGCATTCATCACATAAGAAGTATAATTGTACATAATTCCTCTTGGAAACAAAATGTTATATGTACTGTCACAATAAATGTACAAAAATGTAAAAGTATAAACAGAGGTATACATAAATCATTTTGTACTTCTAAATGGCTTAGAAAACAAGAAAATACTCCCAAACCTCTACGTAGCCTAAAACCCAGATCCCAAAATGATTCAGAGCGAAGTATTGTCGATTTGAAGCAAGTATGAAATTAAATAATCCTTTTTCAATTTTTGTCACATTTATAAATATTTTTTAATTATAATATAATAATATATTAATCTGTATAAATATTCAGGTAAAGACAATTGGAGGAAAAGGTGGAGATGGAAATATATCATTTTTGCAATTGTGGTCAAATGAATGTGCTGGACCAGATGGTGGAGATGGTGGACATGGTGGTCATGTGATTTTTCAAGTAAAAACTGAACAATTTATTAAAACAAATCATAATTAAATTTTATAAATATTTATATTTAAAATATATACGTTTCAAATGTTGTAGGCATCATTAGGTGTTAATGATTTTTCAAATGTAAATAATATTCTCAAAGCTGAAGATGGTGAAAAGGGATACAATAAAGACAGTTTTGGAAAAAATGCTAAACATACAGTAATACATGTACCTTTAGGTACTATAATACGAAATACAGAAGGAAAAATAGTAGCTGACTTAGATCAAGAAGGCATGATGTTTATTGCTGCACGAGGAGGTGCAGGTGGTCATGGAAATGCATATTTTAAGTCAGATGTGCAACAGTCACCACGTATAAGTGAATATGGTGCACAAGGAGAAGATTTAAAATATGTGTTAGAAATTCGTACTATGGCACATGTAGGATTAGTACGTGAATACTATTATATTAGTATCTTTCATTTTATGAAATCTAGTTAAAAACTGACAATACTTAAAGTTTTTATTTTAGATTGGACTTCCGAATGCAGGTAAAAGTACATTATTGAGAGCAATATCTAGAGCCAGACCAAAGGTAGCAGCATATCCATTTACAACATTGAAACCTCATCTAGGAATGGTGTTATATAATGATCATGAACAAGTAGCAGGTTGGTGATATAATATAATATAATTCATTAATATTTTATTCGAAACACTTACTAAACAAAAAGTTGTCTAACTTTTAAGTCGCTGACCTGCCGGGGCTTATATCTGACTCTCATAAAAATAGAGGTCTTGGTATACAATTTCTTAAACACATAGAACGTTGCAAGATTTTATTATTTATTCTTGATATTACTTCTGAAGAACCATGGGCAGATTTTGAAACTTTAAAATACGAAATTACACAATTTAATGAGCGATTAAACGAAAGATTACACCTTATTGCGGCAAACAATTTCTGCTAAAATAGGTAAAAATTTATTCATTTTATTGAAAGAAATAAGAATATTATATGATAAGGAGAAAGACGAGATAGAAAAAGAAAATTTATTGTAAAACGAAGAAAATTCTAATTAATTAAATTTCATCTTTATAATAATAGTTTGTTAATAAAACACATTTATAAAAATCTTTTTTAAGAGTATAATATTTAACATTTAATGTTTACGAGCTTTTTCACATACTTCAAACTTTTTTATTACACTAACTACTTGTGGCTGATTTAAGACAGTAAAAAACCATCTATTTAGATTTGTATATTGCTTTCTGCATGCTGGATCCAATACATGTTCATACAGTGGCAATAAGGCAGTAAAAACAGCAATATCCGCAAGACTAATTCTTTCTCTTACTAAATAAGTTTTTGTCAACAGTATATTGTTTAGTTTCTTTAAAGAAGAAAGAACATCTTCCTTAGATGTTTTAATATTCGTCTTCATATTATTTGGTATATTTTCTGAAAGACATGGCACAACCCATCCAAATACAGCTGGTAAAATGTGGTTATCCGCATAACTTAACCATTGTAAAATTTCACTGAATGTGAAAGGATCACTTGAAAATCTTAATTGGTCGTTTGACAAATACAACATGATTGCACTACTATCAGACAATTCAAAACCATCTCCTTCTAATTTTATACTTTTGGTTATTATATCGCTATTTTTATGCTGTGAAGTAATCAAATCTTTACTACTATATTTTGCTATTATTTGGGCACGATAGTATTTAATACTTCCAGCATTACCAGAAAGTACTAATTTGTTCTTTGAACTTTTAAAATTTACAGATTCTTCATTATTCTTGAATTGAGTGTGATTTTCAATTACAATATTTTCTGAAAATATACAATAAATTTCATTTAATTCAGAAATAGTTTTCTTCTATAACATAATCCTACAATATACTTATACCAACATATATCGTAAATTAACTTTTACCTACTACACCAAGTTTTGAATTAGCAAAATTTTTAGCATCATGTACTAATTTAGGTACGCATGATATATTGGTACCCGAAGCCTGAGCAGATTCAGGCTTTCCACCTCCTTTGCCTCCCATAAGTGGAGCAATTTTTTGAATCCATTCATTTGCTTTTAATCCCTTATTTATAGCAGACTATTATATTTTATAAAACAACAATAAAGGTATTAGTATCATATTCGTTTCAAGTAATTTATTTAATTGCATACATCTTTTCTTACCTTAGATACTGTACTAAGTGCAAAAATTTTGTTCGCATCAGGATCAACACTTATGAGCAATGCACTTGTGTCTGGGGAGACAGCTTTTATTTTTTTAAGAGCAGAATCTAAAGCTTTCGTGTTATTATATGCTTTTAAAACCTCGACCATTACTGGACACCCAATATTTTGTTGAATTATTTGTTGAATAGTGTCGACTACTGCATTGGCTATCGCCGTTTTGGCTGCACGTTCTTTATCGTCAAGTGCCTTTTTTAAATCTTTTAAAATTTTACGCATTTTATCCTATACATAAACAAAAAATGTCTATTCTGTACCTTTATTATCATTTCAAAATATTATATACAAAAATATATACAGGGTGATTCACCTAACTTGATGACCTGAAATTGCTAGTAAACTATTCACTGTACGAAATAGTATATGAAGTAAAAGATGTATGATTTCAAGGGGGACATATGTTACAATAACTGTTTTTATACATAAAGTTTTGAAGGTCACCATGATTTTTTATATGGAACACCCTATATTTATTTCCGGAAATTTAAAAGTCTATATCATGTGCCTCGTTAACTGAAGTTTTTCTGATTTTTTTCAAAATTTTTCACGCACTATGGTGGGAGAAATGAGCAGAAACATGATTTTTCATTTTTGCTCTTTACTACCCCCTACCTTCACCAGTCGAGATACAAAATTGAAAGTTGACATAAATTGTTCTCTTTGATAAGCTACTGAATGACATATCGCAAGTCGAATTTGGTTTAGAGGCACTTTTGACCCCCTTATCCGGCTATACCCTCTTTGATTTCAATAGAACAGAACTTCTATCGTGAATATCTCAATAAAAACTCATTTTAGACATATTAGACCTTAATATTTAGTTACTCAGCTTGTAATGCTCTCTTAATTTTCGGAAAGAAATACAGGGTGTTCCATTTAAAAAAATCATGATGACCTTCAAAACTTTATGTATAAAAACAATTATTGTAACATATGTCCCCCTTGAAATCATACACCTTTTACTTCATATATTATTTCGTACAGTGAATAGTTTACTAGCAATTTCAGGTCATCAAGTTAGGTGAATCACCCTGTATATATTTTTGTATATAATATTTTGAAATGATAATAAAGGTACAGAATAGAAATAACAATTATTGTAACATATGTCCCCCTTGAAATCATGCAACTTTTGCTTCATACACTATTTCGTACAGTGAATAGTTTACAAGCAATTTCAGGTTGTCAACTTAGATGAATCACCTTGCATACATATATGAAATATACCTTCTTCCAACTTGAAATAGTAGCGCGTGAGACATCGTCTGTTACATCGACTATTTTTTTTACATGTTCTTTTGTATTTGCACCACTTTTATCAGCAGCTATAGTTGTTTGTAATTGATCCAAATAATTTTGTAATATAGCTGCTTTTTTCTGAGCTTTCGTTGCTTCAGGTCCAGTAAGAGCTACTATACGCCTAATTCCCTTAGCGATAGCTTCTTCGCTAGCTATAGCGAAATCTTCAATGTGTTCTGTATAATGCAAATGTCTAAAAAAATTAAGATTAGGAAATATTTATCGATTCACTTGATATTACTGAACAAATAGAAAATATTTACGTTCCACCACAAAATTCTACGCTAGTTTGCAGTGCACCAGGACCTAAAGGATTCTTTTCTAAATCTTCAATCGGTATGCCTATGCTAACGATTCTTACAGGATCCGGATATGTCTCTTCAAACATAGCACGTAATCCTTGAATAGTTTTTGCTAGTGCTAAATTACTTTCTTTAGCATAAACTTTTTTATTCTCTTTTATCATATTTCTTGTAATTTCTTCTGTCTTTTGTATTTGTTCCGCGGTCATGGCTCCTATGAAAAAATATTTAAAATATATAAATGTTTTTAATAATTTGTTTTCTGCTTTTTATCATTACTTTTTCTGACGAACCTTTATTTGTAAAATCAAAACGAAGACGATCAGGTGCAACTAAAGAACCTTTTTGATCGACTTCCGTACCCAATACTTTACGAAGAGCATAATTAAGAGCGTGAGTTGCAGTGTGATTGCTCATTAAAAACCTCCTTCGTGTAGTATCTATATTTAATGAAACTTTATCGCCTTTTTTCAATATTCCTTGACCTACAGTTCCAATGTGCAATACATAACCACCTCTGACTTGAACATTTTTTATTCGGACTTCGGTATCCTTGACAAACAAAGAATGTTAGTACTATATAAATAGCATACAAATTTAGATAATAACATTTATTTACTTCATCATCAATTTTCACTAAGAATCCTTCATCATATATTTGTCCACCTTGTTCTGCATAGAAGTTTGTTTGATCTAATAAAATTCCAACTTCTTCTCCAGACGATATGTTATCGACAAAAGTCTTTGCCTGTCTAAGAGCAATTACAGTACCAGTACATGGAGCAAATTCATATTCTTCATATATTTTGTTATTCGTAACTGTGTAATTGTATTTCGGTAAATCATTTGTAGGCTTAATTCCCTTATTTTTTAATTCAGTAATTGCATGAACATCCAAGTTTATTTGATCATCTACTCCACCACTTTTACTTTGAGAAATAATCTGAGATAAATAGATTAATTCCAATTATATTAGGAATATTACATTCTTAAACTATTGTTATAAAATATTTTATATAATACCTGAGCTTGCTTTTTTGCTACTTCATAACCAATCATATCCACTTTCAATCCCTTTTCTTCAGCCATAAGTTGTGTTAAATCAACTGGGAAACCATATGTATCATACAAACGCCATGCAACATCACCAGGGAGAATATTTGATGACTCTAATTTTACTATAGCACGATTTAATAAATTGCGGCCACGCAATAAAGTCTTAAGAAATTGAACTTCTTCTTCGTTAACAATATCAATTATATACTGTGGGTCTTTCCTTACTTCAGGAAAAATATCACCTATACATTTATAAAAGAAAAGAATTCTTTAATACAAAACGTCACACAAATAGTATAAAAAATATAAAAATTAAAAGGAA